TATAAATGATATGAGTTGGAAAGACGAGGTCCAGTTGTACTACTGACTAGTTAATGAATTATAGGTGTCACGCCTAATGCTTTCTTTATCACACAGAACACGAGCTAAGTAGGGTATGGTTGAGTTTTTGTACTTGCTGGTGCAAGCATATAGTTTTCTATATAGGCCTCTGGTTTTACCTAATGAGATGCAAGGGGAGAGTTGTGAGTGAAGAGAGTGGTGTGAGTTAGATGAAATGGACTTGGGCCATTTTTCACATGAGTCCATGTGCCTGTCGACCAGAATATTAACAAGCTGGTTAAGTGACACGTTGCTTACCCTGCTGACAACCTTTAACATCCTGCGTAATATGTTATAGTCTTTCTTCAGTATCCCGGGAAGAACTAAGGGGGAACAATAGAGAATAATAGGCAGAATGCGAGAGTTAACGAATTGTAGGAGTAAGGGTTGGGTTATACCAGAATGTTTTAACTTCTTGATGTAGAAGGTAAGACGGAATATTTTCTTAGAAATCGCCAAGATATGAGACGACCAGGAAAGATCGGCAGATAGAATGACGCCTAGGTATTTAATTTCCGACTTGGTTTCTATTTCAGTGCCGTCTGTGTTGCATACCTCGTGAGAGCCAACCAGTTTGTATAGGTTGGAAATTGACTATTTGGCATTTGGAGGGGTTTAGAGTAAGACCGTTTCCCTTGGACCACTGGCTGATTTCTGAGAGAAAGCCATTTAGTTTAGAGCAGTCGCTTTGACATTTGAAAGGCAAAGATACAGTCAGGTCGTCAGCATATTTGACAAAATTGATGTCATTTGAAGATGGTAAGTCATGTAGAAAGAAAGAAAAAAGAAGTGGGGAGAGTACAGCACCTTGGGGGACACCGGCTTCAGTGAGTACAGCAGAGGATGATTTACCTTTGTATACGGTGTACTGCTTTCTGTTAGAGAAGTAGGAAATAGGGTTGGTTAGAGGTAAAGGGTCCGATAGCATCGAAAATCTACTAAGCTTTATTCTCCATGACACTGCCATGTACTATTTGAAATTACAGTCACTGATTCAGTACACATTTTACTGAGTGTAGATATAAATATAAATAATGAGATAAGTGATTCGAATGCAAATAGTAACGAAGAAATATGTAACATGATCTTAGAGTTCAGAGATAATAGAAGAGTTAGAAGGGATTAAAAGATCAAAAGAAATTAAGTCGGTTAAAATGAATAACCAGTTTGAATATAAGAATAGAAACTGGGTACTGTGATAAAGTATAATTCAATTTCTCCATAATGGAACCATTTCGAATCTTTGCTGTCTAAATCTTCCTTAATCTTCCTTTTAATTTTTACTCTTATGTAATACCACATTTTTGCTCGTTTCAATGTGCATCCTGACTACAACTCATTCAATAATTAATTTATTCTCCTATATATCTGCAATACACTTGTCTGAAGTGTAAATATTGGTCTACAGATGTTAGGCGCCTGAAGTCATTCAGCTTGGTGAATAGGGTGTTCTAAAGTATTTAGCAAGTTGGGCTATGCTCACATTTTATATTTTACTGATATTATTACTTATTTTATTCCTTCGCATTCTGAGTAGAACACAGGGCTTCAAGTTTGAGCTTTCAAGTAGAACGTGGTGAGGTTGCTAGCCTCACACTCAACCTTCCCTCTATGCCGGGTTTACTACTGGCTAGAAAAGGTTTACGGGTGCATTGGCCGACGACTGGATACCGAATCACGTGTTTGGTTGGTGAACATTATACAAGTGAACCATTGATGCACATGCTTACATTTCCATATACTGTATTTTTTTCTTTCACGTTCCCAGTGGAAGATAGGGCTTCAAGCTAGTGGCTTGAAGTTTCTGTAGCAGTGTTTATTTTACAGGATGGGGTTGCTAGCCTCATGCCTAACCTTTCCTCTTCACCAGCATTATTTCTGGCTTAGCGAGGTAAAGGAGTGAGTTGGCCGGCGATCGAACCCCGGACCATGTGTATGGTCGGAATGACTACTAAATATGATGGAATGAACAACTTCCAGAGCAACTGAGAAACGCCAAAATCCACAAGTTATTTCATTCTAAGTAGGTGCTATTGTTTACTGTGTAAATATCTCAAACTTATCTTGTGTACTTAAGTGAGGCATTTTTGTGGAAGGACAGTAGTGATCGAATGAACAGCGTTTGCCATCCTTACATTGGGAGGATTTCACTAAATGAGCTTTAAATCAGTCAATAATTTTTCGCATTAAAAACACAAGATCCGCATCACATTACTTTGTGTAATAGAGGACGGTTTGTAACTAACTGACAAGATGCCTAGTTTAGGCAGCTTCTGTTTTTAGACTAATGGTTGCAGCTGAGTTGATTGTTTGTCAAAGGAATGAATCAAATCCTGTCGATGTGAATCCTGTGACAAGTTGAATTTTCCGTTAACCAACAGCTATCTGAAATCGGTTCACAACTGTTTTACTTTTCACCCGCTGAATTATTAACTGACAGTGCGCTAATGAATATGTCCCAAAACTTGTTAATGGGACAGAAATTGACAGCTGGAGTAATATTTATATTATTGAACCACAAGTCTATAATTATACTTACAAAATATTTAAATATATACTATATTACTGTATAACACTGTGTGACTTTATCAAAATAAAATTTTATCCATAATGGGAAAATATTTTTGGAGTTTAAAACTAGACGGAACTAAGACATGCAACGTCTATTTTATTTTCTAACAATGAAAAATTATTTGGGTTAATGGTGATTAGCAATGGAATCCACGCTGAGCATTTCATCCTATCTGGGGCTCTTCGTCTGAATGTATCTGCAATCCCCAGTGAGTGACATTGTCACCACTGACACTAAAACCCAGTACCCCTACATACACTTCATATCAAAGCTCTATCCACTAGAGCTCTTGTGTAAGAAGTGTCACATATTAAGGTCGATTCAGACTTTCTTTTTGATTGAATTAAGCAAAATATTATGCCTTTATTGATACGGTGGATAACGCCTTGGCGTTTGAAACCAAGGGCACTGGGTTTGAGTCTCATAGGAACAACATCTTTCATAGAGAATGCAAGTACATTCATCTGACGAATACCAAATACACCGAAATATTTTTTCCTGCGTCCCACTGAATCACTCCAGCTTCCTGAATGCTGAAGTGCTAAAATTTGGATATCTACCTTACTATAATAACAGACTCAGGTGAACTTTGAACTGGAAAAATTAACATGAATTTCTTCCTAACAGTTATTCAATTTATATTTATTCACTCAATAAGCAGAAGTTATGCGTTCATCCATACTAAATCATGTACCAATGCTAATTCGTCCTTTTTCTAACGATAAATTGATAGTGTGCCAAATATTTCACATAAGAAGTGAAATTGATCTAATCATTAAGTGAAAATAATATGATAGCCTAGAGATTGTTCTTCCAACTGATGTTTTCTCATTTGTAGCCAAATTGAACAAAAGGTTTTTAATCTTCAAGCGTTGATTCGTAAGGACTTTATGTACTTTATTATAGACCGATATCTGTTAAAGGATCGTTGAAAACTAGAGAATACCAGGAGGCTATTTCGTCATAGTTTAAGATCCTTCAGCCACAAGCACCCATCGTTCCACGGAGATTCGAACTCAGTCCCTTCAAATGGAGTCCATCAGGTTGGGTGTGAGGACAGATACTAACCGATAACAGTGGTAAGCAGTGGCGTTACTTGTCGTAAACTGGTAGAAGCTAAAACTCATGAATCAATTAATTCTACTCTGGCCACTGGTGGGTAATGTGTTCGTCTTGTAACCTGAAGGTTCTGGTTTCGATTTTCAGCTGATTCGTTGTTGCCTACTGATGATATTTCCAATTAAGACGAAACAGATGTTCAGTACTTCCTCGTTTTCAATAGCTCTTTAAATGATACCAGTTTGGAGGTGAAATCCAACTTAGAAGATCATAATTTCTCGATTCAAAATAATGAAATACAGTAATACATTCATTTGATTTCCTTTACCAGAATTAATTTACTAGAGAATATATTTGAGATCCTGATTTTTACTTTTAAAATATGACTTTCCCTTTATAAAATTATATTTGTAAAATCTCAGCGAAATTGAAATGATTAATTCCAACGTTTCGTTCGGCAATCTGGTCCGAACCTCTTCAGGGAAATTAATCGAAATTAACGAAACAGAGGTTTATATATAAAAGGAACATCTCTTGTTTTCGAAACTTTGTCCAGTCATGAGCCATGGAACAGGCATCAACATGCATAATAAAGAAATGTGATCAAAATTTGACTTCATACTTTCAAAATTAGTAAACAAAATTGTATGTTTATATATAAAAGAATATCTCTTGTTTGAACAGACGTGAAGGTGTGATGTTAGCTGATGCGTGGCAAATCCTGACTAATAAATAAAATTGGATATGTATTAACAACTAGTCACACTTGGTCAAATTCCCGATTATCTACGTGCACATACACACACACCATTGTATACTGCACATACACGTATATGTAAACAAAAGTCTGAGGTCAAATTTCGATCACAGTTCATACAATTTTGTCTATTATGCATGTTGATGTCTGTCTCATGGCTCATGATTGGACAAAGTTTCAAAAACAAGAGATGTTCCTTTTATACGTAAACCTCTGTTACGTAATTTCAATTAATTTCCCTGAAGAAGTTCGGACCAGATTGCCGAACGCAAGAAACGCTGGAATTAATCATTTCAATTTCGTTGAGATTTTACTAATATAATTTTATAAATTGTCTACTTCTCACTCAGCGCTCAATTATTTCACAACTATCCAGTTGAATCTTGGTCCCAGTTCATATGTATGACTTTCCCTTTTTAAGGTCTTGGTTTTTTTCAACGTTAAAGTTTCCTTGTTATTTATACAGTTTCTTGAGAACTTATTAATCATTCAAACTGTTCATTGTTAATTTCAAAATGTGTACAATTTACTAAAACTGAACAAAACACTTACCCGATAGGCCAGACGATAAGGACAATTCTTGCCAAATCCTACTGGTGGTTCCATGTTCCTCAGCATTTCATAAACATCACGATGATGAATAAGACCCCTATATTATAGAAAAAAGAAAAGAACCAATTATATCAAATTCTCAATTTGTTAATGAAACTGTTCAAGATAAGGACTTACCACACCTTCCTTGTGCGTCGGTGGCACAGTGGTTAGGATGCTCGCCGACCATGCACATGGTCCGGGGTTCGATCCCCGGCCGACGCACTCCTTTACCTCGCTAAGCCAGAAATAAAAGCTGGTAAAGCGGAAAGGTTGGGCATGAGGCTAGCAACCTCATCCAGTAAAAATAAACGCTGCTAAAGAAACTTCAAGCCTCTAGCTTGAAGCCCTATGTTCCACTTAGAACGTTAAGGAATAAAAAAACACACCTTCCTTTGTAAAGCAGAATGATTATTCAAATCACAATATATATATATATCTGATTGATACTGTGAATTGTAATCGAGACAGCAAGTATAAATACATAATGGGGTACACTGTTGGTTGATATTAGTAGTTTTTAAACTACTCACACCGATAGTTATTGCTTCCTAAACAAATTGAAGTTATGTAAATGATGCAGGTTCACCTATTCACCCCAGGTTCATTAGCGTTGTACCCGTTTTGACGCAGCTCAGAAGGTTGAATCAGTTCAAGTCAACAGTAAACTGGCTAATTTCTATTAGTTGTAAAACGATATTGTTTTTACTGGCGTTTATATAGACAGACAAATGGTGTTGCTACGGTTTCACCAGTCTCCCCAATAGTCGCCGACCTTTTCATGAATAGATTCGAAAATAACATCTTTCCAAGCCTACTCACTCCTAAAATAGGGTTAGGATATGTAGATGATACTTTTGCAGTTCTAAAATGAGATCTACACAATTCATTCCTGGAGAAAATAAACTGTGTATCTCCCAGAATCCAGTTTACTTTGGAAGCAGAATCCGACGTCGGTGAACTACCATTTCTAGACTGTCTAGTTAAGAGAAGGGGAAACGGACATTTTAGTATATCCATATTCAGGAAGAAAACCCACTCAAATAAATATTTAGACTTCAAATCATCACACCCCATCAGCGCAAAGATTTCAGTTGTTTCAAGTTTTCTTAGACGATCACACTCACTGATAACAGATGAGAAAGAAAAAGAAATATCACACATTACTGATACTCTCAAGAAAAACAACTACCCAAGGAACTTTATCAACAAAATCAACACAGACATTAGGAAGGCCGAAAACATGGATCTCAACAGTCGTCATTCCATATAGAGCAGAGACGTCAGACGACATCAGAAGAGTACTCAATCAGCTCGACATTAGAGTTTTCTTCAAAACATCAGACACACTACGAAACAACCTTATCCATATAAAAGACCAAATCCCTAAAGGTTCTCTATCTAATTGTGTCTATAAAATAAAATGCTTGGAATGTTATGCGACATACATCGGACTAACATGACAAGAAATCAAAATCAGAAGAAATGAACACTGTAGGGCATCTGTTCGATTGCCGAGATATCCAGTTGGACTACAAAAACTTGAAAAATCATCAGCCATAGGTCTACACGCTATAGAATCAGGCCACAAAATTGATTTTGACAACATTGAAATAATCCAGAAAAACTTCAGAAATCACAAAGAACGTCTAATATCAGAAGCACTTGATATCCAGTGGAATCCAAATTGTCTGAATAGGAATGATGGACTAAAACAGAATCTGACCAGGTTACAACACCTCCCTCCCCCATTAAGTGACAAAATCAACACGAATGTGATAAGCAAGTTCATTATGTAAAAACACACTGCTTTTATAATTTTACGCACTGATCAAATCCAACAATCTACACCTGGTTTTGTCATCTCTATCAACTGACCAACTTGACAACGAAAAATGACCCCAGACTGACGAACTATGATCAAGTTAGTAAACTTTACTTTGATATCATAACAGATGTACTATTACCTTTGTTATTTGGTTTAGTGATCTTTATTGGTATTTTAACTTTCAATATGTCCCTTTAACTTGACCTAAGTCTATTTTCTCACCCCTTAACTCTTTGTTATATATATGCTAAGATTTTGTAAATTCCGGTTTAATAATACTTTGATAAAGCTATTAGCATTAAACAGCGAAACGTCAGTAAAAACGATATCGTTTTGTTTTTCATTCATTGGGAAATACAAGAAAACCTTTATTATAATGAATACCATATACCCAATGCCCAAATTTTTTCAAACTGTTAAAAGTGAACTTGGTTTGGACATTTATAAATTCTTTTGAAACTATTTAAACAAATATAATAAAGACTCTGGAGATTGATAGATACCAGAAGAATGTTCCTTTCCTGTTTGAGACAGTGCAGCAGTGCATACATAAGATTTAGCCACAGATGGGACCTTGTGCAGGTGGGTATAAAATTGATTTTTCATTTACTCACTGAATCGGGATCAAGTGGCGTCTGAATTCTAATTTTTTTAAATTTGAAACATGACCCCCCTTACCTGATATCTATGGTGAGATAACACCTTTTCAGATAAAACATAACTAACTTTTTTATAGTTTCACATTTACTCACTTTGCTCCAGGATCATATTCAGCCCAAACACGCACAAATTCATCAAGATGATGTGGACCAAGTATAGAAGAATCTCTGGTCAAATAATCAAAATTATCCATAATAACAGCTACGAATAAATTCAACATAATAAATGAGCATAAAAAGTTGAATGTTGCAAAGTATAAGTAGGTATAGGAACTTCCACATGATTCTCCAGATCCTTCACATTCTTTACCGGCTGCACAGTCCAGCATAATTTCTTGCCAATTTTCACCAGTTGCACATCTAAGAAACAAAAGAAATAAGAATTTAAAACAGTAATGCCTACAGTTTATCATATCTATGAATGTGAATGAACATAACGTAAGATTCATATGTTAGTATCGAATTTCTAGAGAATGAAGCCTACCTATCGTTTAACAGGTGACAGTTCAGCACGGATGGCTCAGCTGAAATGACCAGAAATCAAGTTTTCAAGTATTGGTATTGTAGGGATTTTGTTTGATTGGATGGAGGATTTCATAATGAGCTGACATCAGTTAGCGAAACACTGGAAAACCTGGGAGTACTGGGCAGATGCTTCGTCCTAGTTTGGGACTCTTCAGAAGTACGCACCCACCGACAGGGTTCGAACCTACCACCTTCTGGTTACAAGGCGAGCTCGTAGACCATTATTTACTGGGACCCGATCCAATGGCCCATGAATTCTAACTGATGTCAGCTCATGATGAAATGCTCCATCCAGTCAAACAAAATACCTAAAAAATACCTAAAACTCTCACTTAACTAAATGTATCATTATTTCTTTCTTTTTCCAATGAAGACCTGAATATATATATATATAAGAAGATTTTCACCAAGAAAAATCTTAGAATTTCACTGTTTCGGTAAAGTGTCATCGGTCACGTCAACTGTCAGCTAAGTAATTTATAAAGTCATCCCTTTGGGGAAGATTTGTGAAACGACTGTTTAGCTCTACAGTTTTTGTGATGTTGTTCTATATATTTAGTTCACAGAAGTATCTTTTTTATTTATTCACTTAGAAGAAAAAGAGGCATTCAGTGAAGAGTTACTCTTTCATTTATTTTTAAAAAAATCATTCATTGAGACTCTCTCTACTCCTGAAGACAGCTATTGTAAATGGCACGATTTCGCTACTATCGATGTGTACCTCCTAAAATTCAATGTATATTCTCTTTTTATGTAAGGTTTTTGCAAAACATCTGACAGATAGAACGGCCATCACTTATCTAACACAGAATGTAACGAAATTGTTACTTAAAACAAAAAATTAGGTACAAGTATGAAGCTGATAGAAACGTACTTATTCATTAATTTCACCTTAGATTTCATCACAAACCATCAACAGTAAGAGAATTACTGAAAACCGTGGAGCACTGAAAAGACGTTTCACTCTAGTTTGGAACTCCTCAAAAGTGTGAATCCATGACCCAACCAGCGATAGAACTCAAAAATTTGAAATAGAGGAGCAAGAACTTTGGCTATTGGGTCCTTGGGTCGGATTTATTGACTCTCTGACCTATGTGATCGATTAAAATTTATTCACCTCTGAGATGAAGTGAAGGGATTGAGAAATCAAAGGTTCAGACGCTTGTCAGAATGTGGGTTTGCACTTTCCAAGAGTACCAAACTAGTGTGAATATTACTTTTTCTTAATAGTTTTCAATTATTCTCTAACTGATAGTACTTCCTTATGAAATCCACGGTGAAGTTAATCCCACTCCCCATAAAACCCATAATTAATTAATTCTTATGATAATTTATTTGTATTTCCCGTTGTTTGATAATATTGTACTGTTGTCTCTGTTTATATGTAGACTAGAATTTAACATACTCATTTCGTCTAATTTGGGGCTTTTCAGCCGCAATCCATCGTTCATCATTCCTAGAACCAAACTTTTGTCCACTAGGTGACTAATGGTTGAGTTCGATTTCCACTTAGAATGCTATCAGTCACTGGGGATGTAGGTATGTACAGACTAAGAGCCCCAAATGGAACGAAATGCGCTAGCCACAATCAACTAAATAACAATTAAATATTAAACCAACAATATTGTATTTCAAACTGTAATTCTGAAATGTAATTCAATTTGAACTTTCCCGTTTACTGATTAGACTGAAGTAGTCAGCTTCAGATTGCAATACCGGCTTCTTATACAGATGCCTTAACGATGTCTGATTGTTTAACTTGAAGTACATTGATGGATGGTGAATAGTGACGGAATTCAGGATGTGCATTTCGTCCTACTTGGAACTGGTCGGTCAGATGTACCTGCATTCCCCAGTGAGTGATGGTGTTTCCACCGAGGCTAGAACCCACTACCCATGGTTTAATACGCCTAAGTGTTATCCACTTGACCACTTGGTCCGCAAGACCCACCTCTTGTGCAAATATGACAAAATGCACATCCCGGATTCCATCAGTAGTCACCAGTTCACTTCAAATTAAATAATCAGACATCGTCAGAGTATCTGCACAGGGCTCTGACATGTCAACCTCAAGCCGAGACTGAATGAAATAATTACTGACACCCATTGCACAAGAGGTGGCTCTTGTGGACGTAGTGGTCTAGTGGATAACGCTTTAGAGTTCGATATTACGGGTAGTGGGTTCGAAACCCGGTGGGAATAACATCACCCACTGGGTGGGGTGGGAGGTGAAGTTACATTCAGTTGATAAGTCCTAAACAGGATGGAATATGCATCCTGGATTCAACTACCAGTCACCATCTATCAATTTATTACATGAAGTTCTGATAATTATCAACAAAGGTGTATTATCTGTATGAATGTTTCTTGCGGGAACAAGGAAATTACTCTGAATGATTCAAAGCAGCCAAGGACAGTTGTGCATAAAAACACGATGTCTATATTTAGTCAAAATACTCACGTTGCTCATAGGATTTTTTGTTTATTTTTCTTTCTTGTTTTGATAATGATCTGCCTCTTATCATTACTATTGTGTTATTATAGCATTTAGGTGAAATGTTTTATAAAATAATACTTTAACATTGTAAATCGTGTTTTGCAGGATATGATTTTTAAGAAGACATAAAATAACATAATCTAATAGTCTTTTTCTTCTAAAAGTCGTATTACTACTACTTTTATTAATTTTTGCTCCAACTCATTTCCTGTGCTATTTCACTTGAACTTCCTCTAAGGAGTTTTAACATTTATAGAGAATATTTTATATGGCTGTGAGACAGCTTATCTCATCTGTATTTTGCAGTGCTCTGTTTGTTATAAGTAGTGTACGCGTCATCGTTTTCATTCTATCGTGAGTTGGACAAATTCTTGAGGACTCTTGGGTTTTTGAACAAAAGTTTTCAACGAAGAGATATCTCTTACCCCTTAGAATTTCATCCTTTGTTATGCAGATATATGAGAAATTTAGAAGTTGTATCAAAATAGGGACTTACTGGGAGTTAATCATGAAGTCAGGTATTAGAAGATAAAACGAGTTGTGCTAAAGAAAAGTGTTTGTCTAGTTACCTAACAGCTAAGGAGCGGATTTTGAGAAGGTGTAAGCGGGATAAGGAAATTAATTTTATGGATCGAGATACTTAAATGCATAAGTTGAAAGACAATATTCAAGATGAATTTCCAGTCAAAGATTAAAGTCAGTCATTAGGTGTGGAAGGGAAATGAACCAATATTATGCACCACAGGGAGCTGATTCAAAAGTTTGGGGGATTCAGGAAAGGGACATTGAACGAAAAGTCTTTTCTGTTTGGTAAAAACTGAAAATAGCAAATCGGATTTGGAGAATTCTCAGTTTGCAAAATTAATTTGTCATCTGCACAGTTTGAGGTGATGTATGAGTGGTATGACACTACTCATCCCGGTCAGTCAGTAGTATATAGATTTACGGCGCCGGAGAGTGACTTTTCTTTGGAATTTATAATTGAGATAGGGAAATTTGACTTTTAAACTTTTGAATTACACATAAATTTCATTATCGCTGCTTTCAAGAGACTCTGTGGAACTTTCTGGAAGGCTTTCCATAAGAGTCCAAGATGATTCATGCGTTTGAAGTCTGTGTGATGTTTAATGATAAAGGTGAATAGAGATTTGTGATTATCGAGTCGGGTGACATTCGTGATGATATGCGACTAACAAAAATGTACTATGACTAATGTTGTCACTTCTAACCTCCGTCTTCTTATTCTGTGCCTAAGTGTTCATATCAAGTGAATACATGTTGACAGAATACGTCTGAGCATAAAGCAATGAAACAATATTCTTGACAGGATTGAAGGGTTACAGCCATCTCTAAAAGTATTTCATGTTCATTTACTAAAATTAATGTAAGAGTTTGAAATACATTAAAAATTGTTATCATTACAGAGTTGGCGTAAAACTGTTTCAAAAGCTGGCGCCATATTGAGTTTATATATACGGGACAAATTCAGAAACTGTGCTGAAAATTATTTATTTTGTTGGAGAGTTCCAAAATTAACTCAAAGTAAAAGTTTGCAACTTTGAATTAATTTTTATTGCCCTATATTCAACCATGAGAGATGGTTCTGACAAATTCTGCAACTAACATTTACCCTACAGACGCAAATATTAGCAACATCATGAGTCTACTAATCGAGAATGAAAATCGTATAAATTTCTGAATTTCATGTATAAATATGGGGTAAAAATTTTGATTGCATAGAAATACAGATTCCCAAAACTTTATTTAGCCCTTGATATCATGAATACAATTCTAATAAAATGTTGGAGAAGAATCCTCTACGAGAAATTTAACTTTTCCAAACGCTATTCTATAATTTAAAGTCGTCTTTTTAATTTCTGCAGTATGAGAACCTGTGAAATAGAATGATATCATTTTATACTATCAAACTCTACTGTAGGTGGATTATTGGAAGATTCCTAATAACCAACAATAAGTATGCGATTTAAAATATTCTATCCTTCTGTATAGTGGTGTAACAACTTTAATCATGGCCTAAATGAGAAGAGGATATTTGCCTGTTAAATCTGTTTACTTTTCAAATATCTAAATGGAAAGTTTTAATATTATACTTCATTCTCATTAAATCTTAACTTTGCCAGTTACAGCTGCTATCGTCACTATGAATATGATGACTTTTGTTGCTCCAGGTGAGGTTGTGACTTCTCACCGCAGAGGAATCCCAAACTATGATGAAACAGCTGTCCTTTACAACCAGAACTGATATTGGTTTGTGATGAAATATACAGTGCAATGTAACAAAAACGCTACATAACATGAAATTCCACCTTAATGGTAGCTGCATGATGAATCTACTTAAGTTCTAATAAAAAAATATTTCTGGTGGAGACTATCGTGTCGGATATGAAGTAGGAGCTCATCAATGGCATTTGATTGTCACTGGCACTGTATTTTTTATTATAGCTTGATTCCACACAGTATTTTTGGTACAACTATGGACTTTTCAGCATCTGATATCGGTAACCCAACTTTAGCAAACTAACCATTCATATCAGGTGTATGTCGGCCAGGAATTGAACCCCACAACATGTGCATGGTGGGCGAGTGTCCTAACCGCTGTGCCATCAATGTACTGTATTCCTGGTAGAGGTCAGAATTCACCGGTCATCGGGTACTGAGACAATGGATAGACGATCAATAGACTCTCCGCGTAACCTGAAGGTCGTCGGTGAACTTTGTTGCAGAGTCATACCTAACTTACCTATAGAGACATAATGACTGAAAGGTAGGTAATTTTGTGGGCAGAGAAAGACAAAATATCATTACTTTCATCATGATATTTTCAGCTTCTTATTCTTTCTACTGATCTGTGAATGCAGGAAATTGTTTTGCCTGATCCCTGAAATCAAATCCTCTTTTGACCTCATATTAAGTATTTCATTAAATTTCATATCTGAGCATTCTTCATCTGTAAGTGAAACAATATGAACATCTTACGGTGTTCACTTCTTCCTGCATACTTTTAAATGACCCCAGTAAAACTTGTCCATTCTAAAATTATTATCATCATACTAAGTTTTCATTCATTCAACCCTCCTTTCCATTTCCTGTTTTCTTTTTAAAATATCATTAAGCTACTTACTTCGCTAACGAAGTTCATATTCGTTTGTCTTATGGCCCCCCCCCAAAAAAGAAAAAAATACTAAGTAGGACAAGTTTTTACCGTCCACTATAAATGCTTTATACATTAAGTCAGTTTCATTTCACCGATGTATGAGCTGCTAAAGGGGGAAATGTATTATGTTAAAATAGCCTAAGGCTAAGAAATTTTACAAACCATATTATCAGTACAATTGTGTTTAGTGAAACAGGAAATAGAATGAAATATATATGTTGTAAATATCTAAGCGTATCCTGGCAACCTAGGTTAATAATGCTTGGTAGTGTACTGAAATAAATGATTGCGTAAGAGTGGTTTTTTGAAATAGGAACAAACGCATGTAAAACAACTATCTTTTGAATAAACACGCGCATAGGAATATAGAAAAAATTATTTCGTATAGAAGTGATAGTTTACGAATTTGAGGAAGTGACGCTGAACTTTTACTTGCTCATTATTACAGCAACTTTATCGTCGTCTTTCAGTTGAATTCACAGTTGTAGTCTTGTGGTTTTATTGGCTTATATACACTACTTATTCGAAGAACGACATAAATATATTTGGATCCAGCCGAAAAATCGTCAGCAGGACTGAAAACCCATCCTCACGAGAGATCAGGCTCATAATACAGAGTCTCCGTGGATAAAGTTAACCTGACAACAGGGACTAATCCAAGTAGTCCCGTACACCCACCTGTTGGAAAGATTATGGACATCTAACCGAGTTATAGTTTTTCTTAAAATACATATGAAAGGTAGGTATCCTAGAGTTTTGTTGACGCCTGGAGACTTTAAACTAAATATATATTTATATACCAATTTGTAATGTTGCCACTACACGTCATGGAAGTGAAAACTAAAACCCTAGAAACCAATTTCCTCAAAGATGTTCCTTATTCACCTTCTTGGTTTAGTGGTTAATTGGTTGATTTCGAGGTTAAGTAATAAGCCCTCCATATCATGAATTGAAGACGTTACTACTCACCCATTATGTGAATAGCAATACAATGAGACACAATTGTTAACTTTATTACTTTCAAATGTCTAACCACTGATATCCAGTATTATCAATAAGCATTTACTTTCACACAAATTTCCCTTTGAACTAAAACAAGGCCATCCTGACCTTAGTTACTAATGAGTAGCAGGTTGAGAATAGATCGTTCAGTTTCCTCAAATCTATCTACAAATCTTCGTCTTATGAACATGGGCAAAGAGGAAGAAATATCAATAAGAGTACGGAAAAGGAACTTTTCTATGGCCAAATTAACTGCGTTTTATGATTTAAAAATGCTCATGATTCCTGTCAACATTCCTTATTTTGATTTTGAATGCATTTACTGGCCTTCATATGCTTCCAAAACTGAGTAAATGGGAAGAACTAACTGATGAGAATCTGCCAGATTCCTCAAACATTTTCACCAGGAATCTGAATAACACAGAAAATACAGTTCAGGTCAGTTAGGCTATAAAGGAAGCCAACCCATAGAGAAAGCCATACGTACTTCGTTTCTCATAAATCAAACGAATACACCTTAACTGTGATATTGTGGTGGTGTGATACAGAAAGTGTGTTCCAATAGAATATTATTCTCACATATTTCCACAGCTCAGTACTGCATTCGCAACAGAATGCTATATATATACATATATATAAACAACGACTTGACCGGTTGAAAATATACCTTGTCTTCCGTGTCTTGTCTTCTGATATTATAATATGAAGAAAGACCAACTCAGTACTACACTGGTGAGTACATGTTTTCATTTCCAAGTTACAATCATTTCATTTTGAGTTTTGTGTTTTGCTCACACAGCTGAGTTATAAATATATGGATTAGTTTGTTTATTCACACAACAGTTAACTTGTACCTGCAACTCATACTGGAACTCCCAAGTATCTTAACTCCTTTTATATCCTCATTGTTATCTAAATTTTTTCATATTCTGCATGAATGAACTGTGGTTGTTTGATCGCTTCAATATTAACCATATACAGTCAATGTCTCATGTTTATTACTGGTTCGATTCACAAAGTCTTTTGTGAGGATAGTTCCTAACCCATAATATTTTATGCGGATGGCAAAATATCACAAACTAGTGGGATTTAAACGTCGTGGGCTAATAGACTGTAATAAATGGAATGGATGGCAGTGGGCTGGGCCCATATTTAGATCATAGATTGATGCTGCAGAAAATATCCAAATGAATTACTGAACATTTGTTTACTATTGTAGTTTTTCATGTGATTCTGTCTGGCGATGAAGTTTATCGTGCGATACAATATTTCCATATATATTTTAACTTGTAAAAGAGATTTAAATGCCTCTGCTTTATATGACCAATGAGACTGAAGCATGGCTTAGGACCCTTTTTGATCTCCTTACTTCACACTCGGTCCAGAGTATATACAAGTACTAATCTTCCCGTAATAGCTCTCAGTTTTCATTCATCACGGGGTAGATTCTTTCTGTTCACACAAATGTATGTCAAATTCTGTTACTTCCACTCGTCCTGTAATTACTTACTGTTGCAGGTGAGTGTATATCTGCTGCAAGCCAATGACGAGATGTCTCGATATCTTTTGATCATACCGTTTCCCAGTTTATTCTATTTTGACTCCCTTATGACTTTCAGCAGATCATATATTGACATCTAACCTAGGCCAGTTTACTAATCTTTCCTATGCCTGGAGAAGAGAGAGGATTAGATATGGGACTAACGCCTTTATGCAGTAAAAAAGCATCTCCATGTATCTGGAAACTTGACAACACGGATCTTTTTCAAGTAGAACCTCAATGGGAAGCAGTCGGTTGGACGTCTGAACTTAAGGTGGAAAAGATTTTATGAAGGACAAATAAAACCTTTTAGGCAACCGTAGAGGACACTAAAGGTGCTCGCAGAGAACTCAGTACAATGAAGGTATTTCTCTGAAGCCCCATCTCCCATGTAAAACGCCAGGAATGAATAATAATAGTCATAGTGATGTGAATACTTCTAATCTTCCAAGGCTTCGACAGTTAGACTTCATCCGGAGGTGTATGTTCGATAGATATATGATGCAGTTTAAGCTCTCAGCTAATAGAAAACTTGAAAGTGTTAACAATTTGTCTCAAACAAACTACTGCTGTAATGACCTCATTAAAAAACCAAAAATAACTCACCTGAATAACAACAGTATACCATCTCCAAAAGTTTGGAAATTATTGTGATTATTTAGCTGAGAATGAGGATCAGTTTTGATATTCCCAAAAACCTTCAAAACCAAATAATAAAGATACGTAGTGATTATGTAATGAAAACAGCATACGAAATGTTCATGTGTTCTCTTTATGAATCTGTCTACACGCAAAATATCCGCATGAAATTCACTAGGTTGGTTATTTGATTAAAACAAATCTAGAGTTGTAAGCGTACAGCTATTCCAGTCTTCAGTGTTACTTGATATCCCTAAAGTCTCGATATGATAATGGTTGTATCAATAAACAAGTGGAACTAATGGTAAAAACACAGCAGATTTGAGATTGGAATAGAACAGCGATCTAATAGAGCTGTATGACTTAAATTTCACCACCTGATTCACTACAAACTATGCAACTTTCACTAATAGTAGATACTAATTAATTCATCCCTGTCTTCTTCTTAAACGTAACATCTCTCTGTACCATGCCCTTTATCTAATGTAGGATACCTTCTGTACTTCTCCTTTTTATCAGCTTATAAATATTTCAGAATGAAACAGTGCAAAGCGATATTATAGTTAATTATCTAGTTTTGTGTCAACACTTATGAGCAAACTGTTCCTACAACCATAATCCAAATATTCATACCGCAAACATATTGGAAACCATAAATTTCAACAGATCCCATAAATCTCAGTGTGAATTTTGTCACTAATAAACACTAGTCAAACACCTGATTCATTCTAGTTTGGTAGTCTCCAACAGTGCAAATTCGACTCTATCAGTCACACAAATCATTATATAATTGGTTGAACGTGCTGGTATCTCAGTCTGAAGGCTGTAGTATCACTCCGAGGTAGGGTAGTGGTTACATATTGCTGTTAAGTGCGTTTTTGATGTCCTTAACATTCCTTCATTTTAATTCAATTCACATTGGGTTATATACGTCCAAACCAAGTTTTGTCTTCCCAATGAATGAAAAACAAAACGATAGTGATGATTTGAACAAATTACTTTTTGCCTTGTAGATGACTTTAAGGGTGGAGGCTGTAGAGATAAGGTGATCATTATCGACCAAATGTTCAATTATTGCGCTTTTTATAGCCCTACTTCCACCCCTTCGTAACCACTCAGGATAGTGTTCTTGCACCCTCTGAGACTCAATACCTCGTCGAGCGACTCATGTGCCTAGCTTCCTGAGAGCAAGGGGATTATTAAACTCGCAAAGAGTTGGCCAACTTCGGGAACTTGCCTTTTAGGTTATTGAACAGCGAATGTATTTTTCAAAGACTGTGAGATCCTTCTTTTAAGAAAGCCTGTAGCTAAGTCACTTTTGAAATCAAGGTTCATATACAGCATTTTCTTGATTACAGTTGTTAAATCACATTTTGTATGTTTTAAATGTGTATTCCTGTCTAACAGAACGTGTAGGAAATCCATTTTCGATCACGATTTTTCTAAGAAGATTCAAATTCCGATCCACAGCATCAGAACTATATAAGCGTTGAATACGAGTGGTGAGTGATTGCATCAGGTTTCGTTTTCGACCAACAGATACCCACTTGTATATTGCCTTAAAAATAATCATCGCCATGCTGTGTAGTGTTTTAATTGCTTTCTAATATTATTACTTCTACAACCCGCTTTCTTACATTTATATATTTCATGAACTATTTCATTAATATACATCTCAGTAGTTACTTCACATATACATTTCAATTGAATCTGTCTTCATAAATCAAGTTTAAAATGAATGAATAATTCATAGAAAGTCAAAGTATAAATTGGATGCTTTATGCTGAGAGAAATTTGTAGATGAGATATTTTCAAATATGATTGTTTATATGTATGCGACTTTCCTTAAAAAGTCAGTCTACCTCAATGACAAGTTGTCATTTGTTTGGCTAACTTTTCTGAAATGACATAATTTCTATAAAAAAAAAGAAGTAAAAGACCACTCATGTTCATTCTTAGACTTTATCAACTGATACAAACATTCAGGGGGTCTTTACGACAGACAATGTCGCCTATGTTGTTCTCTAGGAATCCAGTTACCAGTGTAGTCAGAGTACTTAGAGAGAGAGAGAGAGAAAACATTATTTGCCGAAAATCTCCTTGTTAATTCTAAATAATTGACAATTCTTTACTGCTTACCTGCATGCCAATAATACAATAAATGAAGAATAGCATTGTAATCAGTAGGCAGACATATGGCAGTGCTTTGATTGACTGAATAAATGTCCATAGGATAATCCGTATACTATAACCTTGACGTAGTAATTTGATTAAACGTGCTGCACGAAAAAGTCGTAGAAATCCTAAACTTAAAAATGCTGACTCCTAAAATAACAGAGAGAGAGAGAGAAAAGTGGAAAAGAGAGATGAAGGCAAGAGCTAACATTACTGAAGTAAAATATCAGTATGTATACGGATAAGGAGACCAGCTTTACAAACTGGTGGTTATACTGTGCGCTTTTTAAATTCATTTAAAATGTATATATAACTTCAACAGAGTTTTTCTGAGTGTAAGATGTTAGACGTCAATCCGCTTGGGAGTATATTTAACCTAGATTTTATGCATTTTGGCATTTCTTTTCCTTCACGTTCCCAGTGGAAGATAGGGCTTCAAGCTAGTGGCTTGAAGTTTCTGTAGCAGTGCTGTTTATTTTCACAGGATGGGGTTGCAGTCCTCATGCCCAACCTTTCCTCTTCACCAGCATTATTTCTGGCTTAGCGAGGTAAAGGAGTGCGTCGGTGGCCGGGGATCGAACCCCGGACCATGTGCATGGTCGACGTTCTGGCATTTATTAGCCAAACGTATATACAGTGTTGAGGTAATTAGCTTCCCTGCTGCAAGACAGACCTGCTTCACCAACTTAATCGTTCCAAGATTTTGTCAGTAGGGTATCCAAACCATACTCCCGACTTTATTTGACTGCATTTTATTTATTCCTTGCATTTCGGGTGGAATACAGGAATTCAAGCTGTAATCTTTGAAGTTCATGCAGCTGTAGTGTTGTTCTATCTTCTAGGATGAGACTGATAGTTGTATACCTAACCTCTCCTCCTTTCAAGGCTTACGACTAGCTAGTGAAATACACGAGGTATATGAGCGCGTCGGGTGGAGATCAAAGCTGAACCCCCGTATAGCTGATGATCACTCAGTGGCATAGTGGTTAGGACGCTCGCCGACCAAGCACATGGTTCGGGGTTCGATCCCTGGCCACCGACGCACTCCTTTACCTCGCTAAGCCAGAAATAATGCTGGTGAAGAGGAAAGGTTGGGCATGAGGCTAGCAACCCCATCCTGTGAAAATAAACACTGCTACAGAAACTTCAAGTCACTAGCTTGAGGCCCTATGTTCCACTGGGGAACGTGAAGGAAAAAAAACTCTACCATTGAGACATAGACTCACTATTAAGTGCATAATATTCAAATGAATATTAAATCCACATACCACGATAGAAATGAAAATACAAAAAGTGAAGCCCTAAGGAATGTCTTCGTAACTCATATAACAGTTACCAGGACGTTATTAAATTCTGACATTCTGAGAGACTTGTATTCAACGGGAAAAAGAGTCACCGCTGGTAAAATCAAAGGAAACTAGCAAGCAGTGAACAGTTTTATATTTCTTCAACACTATTCAACACTACAGATCCATGCATCTACTCGAACAGGACCCAGTCCCTTCAGGCTACGGGGCAAGTATGCCACCATTCAGGCACCAGATTGTAATCCATTGTTCCACAGAATCCAACCATCATCATAGTGTAATAAATTGCGAACCTGAAAATACTTGATTCTAACTCTTCTGAGAACAGTTGAAAACACCAAAATTACGACGGAGGAGTTTCTCAGTCCTTGAAGCTTTTCAGTGGCTGAAATATGCCTTAAAACCAGTCAAATCGCTAAAAACCCAACTTTTAGTTTATATATTTATGTGTTACCTTTGAAAGCAAAACTCAATGTAAATGTGAATCTGAAGAACTCTAAGATGTCAAGTTGAATTTTTTATGAAAAAAACGATGTTGGGGCAAAGGATTTGAACTTAATTCTAATGAGTTCACGTAGTTTACTATCGATGTATGCTACAGTAACCACCAGTAAAATACTAGTGTTAACTTCCAGGGTGTTTAAAATTATGCAACTGCTTTTTAGTTGAATTCGGTTACAAAGCGATTAGGAGAAGAAGGACCACTAGAAAGTCAAATAGATCTGGACAGTACTTACCATCCTGTAAGACATATGTATCAAAATATGAATTGACAGACGCACTCGAATCTCTTTATCGTAAGCACAAATTCGTTGACACGCATTATAGCTACGTTTTATAATATAATAAGCAAACAGTTGAAGTTAATTTTAAGAGTTTGGATCAGTGTAACAGTTGCAACTTTCCTATCTTTGACCTTTCTTGGCTATGTGGGTATTAAGCAAGTGCATACACTTTTCCATCCATGTAAGTGTAGACTTCAGGCACTGTGGTAGACGTACGCAGATAACATATTCATTGTGTTGAAATCTAAGCATATCCCTAAATTATCCACATAAACTCAACTGTAAGTGGAATCCAATTCACTTTGAGTTAAAAAATGAACAGAATTACCTATGCTGGACCATAAAATAAAACGAAAATCAGATGCTGCATTAGATACTAGTATCTTTGGAAAACCAGCGCGTTCTAATAAATACTTAGACTTTGATTTATCCTGCCCAGCGTCGGTAAAAAGAAGTTTAATACAATGTTTATATAATTGAGCCAAGAGCATGACTAGTAAATCAGAAGATTTAGATAATGAAATCAAGCAAAACATTGTTAGTGAATAACTACCCACCAGAATTTATTCAAAAATGTACGAAGAAGCATAAGAGAAATAAAAGCTGTAATGGAAATAATGCTAGCAATGTAAATGATAAGGAATTCAAAGCCTAGATTGTACTGCCATATAAAGAAGGCTCATTAGAAGCCTAAAGTAAGAATCTTAGCAACACTGGAATTAGGTTGACATTTGAACTAAACAACTGGCTAAGAGACAAACTTCCATAGCTTAAGAACTCAGTAGACTTAACAGGAAAAATAATATAATTTATCAAATAATATATATTGACAGTGGGGTCAGTTACATAGGGCAGAATAGTAGAGGGAGGTCATTTTGATTAACCACTAGCTTGAAGCCCTATGTTCCAGCATTATTTCTGGTTTAATGAGGTTAAGGAGTGCGTCGGCCGGGGATCGAACCCCAGACCATGTGCATGGTCGGCGAGCGTCCTAACAGCCGTGCCACCGATGCACCTACTAAGTTCAGTAAGCCGGAATTAAACCAGGCAGACGCAACGCATTCATTTGCGTGAAATCACACGACAATATGGGATAGAGTAAAAGTATGAAGAAGTAATTTAATCAGCGAAGAGGGGAATTATTCGCCGGAACTTTGCTGGTCGAATCAGCACTAAACATGTTTAGTCAAAATGACAACACCGCCTACACTGGATACATGGAAAGTTTCAATGAAAAAAAGGCCGGGACAACGACTTTGTAAAGCAAGATAACAAGTCGTGTGAATATGGTGACATAATTATGAGCAGCAGTAAATTGTGCTCAAAATGTCATCGAGTTATCAACAATGTATCACTCACCATGTGTTGTATCGAGTGAATTTATCTAACTTTAATTTCATATATTAACAAATAGTGTGATTTAATTTGTTGGTTTTCAGTTATTTTCACTATTCCCCCAGGTTCCAAGTAGAACATAGAGCTTCAACAATATCATCCTGTTGTCTTCCGTCTTTTTCAGCCGGCTCTACTGTTGTCCATGAGTTCTCATCTCCTCCTCCCATAATCTCCTCCATGTCATCTCGGATACCACCTGAGCGATGGCCTGGAGGGCGATGTCACCCGACAGTCTCTTCAGCATGTGCCTTATAGGCACATATGTTGGCTGGTAAGATCTTGGTTGCCTCGTTTACAGCGTTTCTCGTTCCTAATCCTTTCTGGTCATCTGATCTTCAGTATGGAACGAGGACAGCTGTTGTCAATAATGAGTGAATGCATATCCTTCATTAGATTCGTATCTTTTAAACTGAATTTTCTTGGTTGATGGTAGCCAACACTGACGTTTGAAAAAATTGGTGCTGAATTCGAGTGACACTGAGAACATTGTCACTCACTGGGTATGTAGTTCAGTCTAGCTAATAAGTCCCAGATGAGACGAAAAGCATGCCCCATCGTCAACCTAGCAAAATCAAGACTTCTTCGAAGCTCCTGTCTATGTCAACAGACACCTAATTATTATTATTGTTTCCTTGAATTCCTAGAGAAACATAGGGCTTCAGCCGTGCATCTCCATTGCGTTCGGTTCTCTGCTACAGTCTTCACCTGGATCCATGTCTGCCATCACACTTTCATCTCCTCTTCATATGACTGACGACCAACTTGCCGTTTCCCTTTCGGGTTCCACTCGAGCAATGGTTTGTCTAGTAATGTCACTTGAAGCATTGTTTTCTCAGAGTATGGTCAGCCAATCCATCTCCAATTCTGCCTGACTATTTGTTTCACAATCGGTTCCTGCTGAGTTGGTTCGCTCAATGCCAGAGATCTCTGTTGCTGATCTTTTCTGGCCAGCCATCTGATCTCGAGTAGTATTGAGCGGAGACAACTGTTAATGAAGGTCTGTAGTTTGTTTGAGATGCTCTTCATGACGCGAAGTGCAAGTCTCTGATCCGTATAGTGAGTAGCACTGACATCACATTGGAGTTGAAAATCCGGATGTTATTTTTGATGCTGAGTCCTGTTGACCTCCACACAGGCTTGAGAGTAGTGAAAGCTTGTCTTGCTTTTCCTATCCTTGCTTTGATATCCTCATCATTTCCGTCCGCTTGTAGTTGAAACGATGCTTCCCAGGTCGATCGGTGAAGGAGGTTGTTTCTTTCAGGTTCCTTCCATTTATGCTGATTGTTGTCAGTTGTTGTTGTTGCTGTTGTTGTTCTTGTCCAGGAATCTTGATTACCTCTGTTCTCTTCATGTTCATCTGAAGTCTTATCTTTGATGCTTCTTCCGCCAACTTGTTGCTTTTCGCTTGCATATCTTCCATTTTGTGGGAAATCAGACATATATCATCGGCGAAGTCCAGATCCCCCAAGTCTTTTGTGTAAGTCCATTTTATGCCTGTTTCCTCATTGCCCTCTGTTTGTCGCATTATCCAGTCTACTGCAATCACGAAAATCACTGGCGATAGTAGGCAGCAAGCTTGTCTTACTCCTTGACACCTAAAATCTCTGTTAAATTCAAAATGACTTCAAAAACACTTCAGTTTCTTGATTATCTCTCTTTTTTTCTAAAAAGAACATGCCTTCTTACTGCGCGATATCAAATGATGAAGATAATAATGAGTCCAGTAAATTGTTTTTTTTTTAAATCTAAAATTAATTTCAAGAGTTTACCATATCAGTGTGATATACTGATAACGGGAGTGATTATTTTTACTTACCTGAAGCTCAGAAACTAATACATCAGTTATACTTCCTATGACAGTGATAAAGTCGAAAATGTTCCAACGATCACGAAAATAGTTCTGAACAATAACAGAAAAAACAAAGAAGAGCACAGCGTGAATTAGACTGGTTTCACATAATCTACCTCCTATATCTAAAACAAATGTTTGTATATATATCAAGTAAATTGCTATAGACATTTCGTATTTTAAAATATATTGATTGATAAATGAGAAAGAGGAAATTCTGAAAAATTGAGAAAACTACAGATGCATTTTACAAGCATTTAACTATGTTTTTACGAGTTGATCACGGATTGATATCAGTTAGAGAACCATTGAAAACCAAGTAGAAGTTGGAATTCATGAGCCAGTGAATCGGTTCCCAGTGGCTGAATGGTATCCGAGCTTCCCTTGTAACCGGAAGGTCCTGGGTTTGAATCCCAGTGGGTGCGTACTGCCGATGATTCCCAAACTAGGATGAAACAGCAGCTGTCCAGTACTCCCTGGTTTTCAATGGTTCTCTAACTGATATCAGTCCGTGATCAACTCGTAAAAACAAAACTAACCCTTACAAACCAAACTATAGAAAATTTTAGCTATGAGCCACGCGGAAACTGTATTATAGACAAATAGCTTCTGGATCCACTTGAAAAAAATTTTTGTTGAATCCCTTGTCATAAAAATCCTGTTTGTTATCAAATCAAACCTACCTTGGTGATCTAATTTATAGCCAAGAGTTGTTTACATAATAATATTTTCCCTTATTTTTATCTCACTACTTATTTCTGGCTTTGGTCACTTAATTACCGTTTTGACCAATATATATGTATATAATGGAGAAGATTTGTAACTGTGGTAGATAATGTTGGTTTACTTTGATTAGACCCTGGGTTGTAACTGATGTTGTCTATCTTATCCTTCCTTTTGATGCAGACTGAATTCTATCAGTCAAACTTGCCACCATTCTTGGTGGCTTACCATCACGGTGCACTTTAATTGTTGATAATAGATGGTTAGATTCAACCGGCAGGAAACTCTGCTTGACCTAGGTTTCGTGCTAGTTGGCACTCGCCAGTCAGCAAGGCTTATCTGGAACCTTGAAGGAATTCATGTCGTCTCTAAGGTTCAAACCTGTGTTATCCAGTGGTGCATTCAGAGACGTTATCACTGAGCTGTTTGCGCTTCCTGCCGATTGCCTCCAACCATCTAACATCAAAGCTAAGGGTAGAGGAAAGAAATATGGAGTAAACTAAAACTTGATACTGTTCCTCATTTTACAAAATTTTCATCTATATCGATTCATCGATTCAATTTTCACATGTTGTATCCTATTAAACTTTGTAAAAATACATATGGCAAGCAAAATATGTGATTAGAATGTTTGAAAAGTGTTGCGCAAATATATTTAACCTTTTTTTTACAACTTTCACAAGAAGAACTAAATGTTTTAAATACAGAAAAACTTTTATTATTTGTTATATGTTCCACTTGAATCTCTGGATGTTAAGCATTACGCTCCAGTTTGAGAAGGGGATTTAAACAAGTACCCTTGTCTGTTGGAAGTCATTAGTAAGATAATTGTTCATATTTTTTGGGTAGACTGACAGCGGCTCAAACAGTAGTGACGCGGGTTCAGATCTCAGAAGGGACATGAGTTCCTTCCAGGTTCCAGATAAGCCTTGCTGACTGGCGAGTGCCAACTAGCACGAAACCTAGGTCAGGCAGAGCTTCCTGCTGACTACCTCCAACTATCTGATATTAACATCTCAAAGTGTATCGTGATGGCGATCCACCTAGAATGGTGGCCTCATTGCACACTGCACTAAAGGAATTCAGTCTGCACCAAGCAAAGGACTAGACACCCTACACTAGTTACTAACTTCTGTCTAACGAATATTAGTCGTCTTGTGGTTCATCATGTGAATTATTTTGTGATCAGCTGACTTTGACTCCGCGATAAAATTTCACCTTATTTTTGACCTTTGCCCTGTGCCAACAGTTAACCAATCAAATATTTTATTTTTGAGTAGATTGAAAATCCCCATTGAGTCATATGAAAAAGAGAAGACATTCAGCGAAGAGACTCTTTTCGGCGAATTCATTCACATAGCTGTACAATCGCATTTATATATAATTATTTGTGTGTGTGTGTACATTTTATTGCAAAATCTATGAATCCTAGACCACAAAAGCCGCCCACGCTTAGCGTCCCGAAAAAACTACTACACATGAACCTTCAATTCAACGGAGATTTATCTGCGGAAACACTAAAAAATCGACTGTCGCGCTCACTTAAGAAGACCTTCGCAGCTGAACTACGACTAACCTTCTCCACGTTCTCCACAAAACCTATGATTCATGTGAACGTGAAGGATAAGCTACCACTTCTGGCCTCATCAATGTGTATTTATCAATTCACCTGCTCGTGTGGAGCCAGGTATGTTGGCCGTACCCAGCGCTCGCTTTCCAAACGTATCACCGAACACTTACCAACATGGTTTTATACAGGAGAAAATCGATGCCCCCACAGTTCCATCTTAGAACATCTGATAGAATCCGGACACCAAGCTACACCGCAAACAAACTTCAAAGTCGTCTACAGAGTAAGAAGTAGTCTCCCTATAGGTGTATGAATCAGACTTCTTCAAACTGCAGAAGCAATGACGATTCACTTGCTAAATCCTGAACTCTGAATACAGAAGAAGTTCGTTCAATCACTACACTTGCAATGGACGTAATCTATCTTATTAGCTGACAAGTAAATTCTACCTAATCTTATTTTCTGTCTCTTCATTAGTATTATTTTGTCTTCTCAATTGTAATATTTTACATTTTCAACTTTCTTGTTCTCTACCCCCACCCGATTTAATTTCTACACCTCACTACCACTGTTACTGACTTGAACATTGCTCAGTTTCTAGTCATTCATGTTACGTCATCCGACTAATTCACTCAATTTCACGTCTACTTAATCTCTACCTGTAATTACCTCTGTTGCTATCCTGATCTAAGTTGTAACATTTTAGTCAATTATATTACGTCATCTAGCTTACTAACTCAATCTTACTTTAGTTGCTGTCTGATTAACTTTGTCTCTATACTACATCATTCTTGTATTAACTAATCAATTATCTAAACTTGACAAACCTCATGTACACACACACAAATAATTATATATAAATGCGATTGTACAGCTATGTGAATGAATTCGCCGAAAAGAGTCTCTTCGCTGAATGTCTTCTCTTTTTCATATTTTATTTTTCGCTGATCTCACCAAATTTTAATGTGGTCAGCCATATATAAATATGATACCCATTTTTCCTAAGAACGTGATATCCTAATGGCCACTGGCTTAGTGAAGCCGAAGGTACCAATGACGAATAGGTGTATCTAGAATATCAGATGAATTGTCCATTGAGTACAGTGTCACTATATCCACGCGCAAGTCCACCTGGTCATAACAACTGTCAGTGATATTATATCAGTTGTTTCGGGTTCATATTCTCATTGGGAATTATATCTTATCTTCTTAAGTGGTGACAATAAATACTCTACCCTCTGGTTTATCAAGTGAGGACTAGCTTTCTGTGGGACTGAATGCTATGCACAAATCTCAAACAAAATCACAAATTATAAATCTGCTGAAGAAGCTGTGGCTTACACAGCGAAACGTTCAGAAAAATCTTGTTTTGATTTTCTTAACACGCTGGGATTGATTTAAATAATTTATAAAAAATCACAAATTCTTCAAACTACTTAAAGTCTGTTGGTCAGTGTAGATTTATCGAGATGTCAAATTTCACCAGTAAATGTTAGCGAAAATGCTTCTCACCAAGTTTCGACAATGTCGAAAAAGTTTGAAGCCTAAGTGAAACAAAGTACAGCGTTGATTGGCTACACATATTTATAAACGGAACAAATGTATACAGGTGTGTATTGTTGTTACTTCAGTCGGCTTAATAACAACAGTTCAGAAATATAAGACAAACTCCGATAACACTGTGTTTTGTTATCAGATTACCGTAGTTAACATGCAGTGCAAAAAGATTAAAAGTTTTGTCGACTTGGTTAAACAGATTTTCGTCGTCCACGGAACACTTGATTGATATCTACGATGAGACTAAACAGTAGACTTTTATAAAGCGTCTTGAAATTCCTCTTTTGGCAGCTATAAGCAAAGGAATTCACAAGGCTTTTTTCGTCGTTGTCTGAGAATTGTCGGTTCGATGTACCTGTTTTCAAGTGAGTGATGGTGGAGCTAGTGAAAATGGAACTCAACACACATCTCTTCAAACTCCAGAGTGTTATCCACTAGGCAAACGAATTTCAGGAAGAAATGAAAGTCATGGATTCCAATGCTAGCCAATAACTGACGCGTAACGTCAAATTAATATTCATGGCAATATTGAAGCTTACATTCAGGGAGACCATGAGAAACTGATAGGTTCGATCCAGATGCATTATTATTATTAGTAGTATTCCATTGATATTAGATGGTTGGAGGCAATCGGCAGGAAGCCTTGGACCTAGGTTTCATGCTAGTTAGCACTCGTCAGCAGGGCGTATCTGCAACCTTGAAGGAACTCATATCCCTTCTGAGATTCCTTCAAAGTTGCAGATACGCCTTGCTGACGAGTGCTAACTAGCATGAAACCTAGGTCCAAGGCTTCCTGCCGATTGCCTTCAACCATCTAATATCATCACAAACAATGTACACCGTGATGGCGAGCTGCCTAGAATGGTGGCCACATTACAACCTGACTGATAGAATTCAGTCTGCACCAAAGAGAGGACTAGACGCATCACACTAGTTATTAGTGTCAAATCAAAGTATTCCATTGAGTTCCAATCGGAACTTAGGGCCTCAACAACACACTTCCACTTTGTCCTACCTTCTGCCGTCCGCTTCAGCTGGGCCCTCGATTGACCATAATCTCTCATCTCTTCGCCACACGATCTCCTTCATGTAAGCATCTCACTGACGACCTACTCGTCACTTCCCATTGGGATTTCAATCGAGCGATGGCCTGCATTGCGCGTGATGTCATTCGATGGCCTCCTCAATGTAGGTCCGATCCATCTCCATTTTCTCTTACATATTTGTTGAGTGATCTGCTCTCGCTCACTGGTTTGTTCCCAGCCAGAATTTCTTGTTGCTAATTCGTTCTAGCCTGCCACTCAATCCTCAATATGGAGCCAGCGAAGGTGGAAGTTATTGATAAAAGTCTGCAACCTGTTGGACTGAGCGTGACCCCTAACCAATGTCTTCGACGAGTATTTGTCTTCACACCCGACCTGCTAGTGAGAAGTCGTGACCAGTAGGGTGCAGCAGGTCGGGTGTGAGGACAAATACTCACCGAAGACATTGGCTAGGGGTCGCGCTATGTCGTGAGTTGGCAGAAGTTAGAATTCATGGGCCATTGGATCAGGTCCTAGTGGATTAATGGTATACGAGCTCGCCTTGTAACCAGAACGTCCAGGGTTCGAATCCCGGCGGGTGAGTACTGATGAAGAATCCCAAACTAGGACGAAACAGATGTCCAGTACTCCCAGGTTTTCCAATGGTTCCGTAACTAATCTCAGCTCATGATGAAAATCCTGTAACCAATCAAATCCCTACAAACCAACACTTCAATACCATCTTCCTTTAGTTGAAACAATGATTCCTATATAAGTGAAGAAGGTGACCTCTGTTAAGTCTCTCTCCCGTCGATGGTGATTGATGCTGGTTGTTGCTGATACTTGTTTATCTTCATCAGTGTTAATAAATAGCTTCTTTATATTCGTTGTACCTATCAACACTAAAAATCCAATTTTATGGTATAAGATGCGGACAAGCGTTCAAGAGGAACTCTCAGAGTGCCACACTGCATAAGTTATACACAAAAGAAGTTACACACAAACAAGTGTATACCATTTTTGCACTATATAAAGAAAACTAACCTTTGGTCCAAATGCCATTATCTTTAGCATACATTCAATTGAGAACATAACAGTGAAAGCTGAATTGAAATATAACAGTGTATTACAGTAATTGTGATAGGCTTGTTGTTCAGTGTCAACAGATGCTGTAAAATATGATTTCTGTTCTTGCCGATGATACTATAAATGTTATAAAATAAAATAACAACAATTGAAATGATTAGTGAAAATTTAAAAAAAAAAGACAAACGATAAGACAGAAGTCATAAGATCAGTTATTGTTTTATTTGTTTGCGTTCTCAGTGGAAACTAGGGCTCCAGGCTGGCGCTTTAAGGTTTCGGCGGCAGTGGTGTTGTCTACAGGAGTTGCTAGCCACATGACTAACCTTCCGCCACAACCGATCTTACAACCAGTTAAACGAGGTGTAGGGAGTTCGCTGGCCGGGGATCGAACCGTTGACTACGTGAGGCGTGGTTGGCCGGTTTTCTGTAACTGAACTACTGACGCATCAATGCATTGTCCACCAGGCCACAAGGATCACTATACTACAAGTAAATCATGGAAGGTTTGGTGGGAAATGTGACGAACTTCTTGGTGTTTTTCAAGAGCCCAGATAACTCTATTTTTCCATAAGTAAAAACACTGTTTTTTTGTTCAACGAAGAAACGACTTCATTTTCAAGCAGTACAGTCATATTTATTTTACAGAAAAGGTTATTAAGTGGCACTAAATAATTGCTCAGTCAATATACATATATGTGATAAGAATAACGATAATTAAAATGTTATAAGGGGCAGAGTTGAAGTGGATAAATTACAAAATTATTAAAATTGTTTTATAAGTGGATTGAAATCAAAGGAGATAACAAGCAAAAGTTTAGCTCTAGGGTGACACATTAGAAGAGAATTTCTTCAGTGTGGATAACTCCTTAAATTATATTTAGTTTCGTAATGCGAAAAAATCCGTTATTTTAAATGAAATTATAATTCATCCTCTCCTGTACGACCAGTCATAATATGTGTCTACAAATTCTACAATGAGCATTATGTATTATACGTCGTTCAGACGTAAAGCAATGGAAAAGAAAATATTTCCACTGTTTTTGTTTATGCATTAATTTTCCGGTCAAATTACCTTTATTTGATTTATTAATTTACTTAGCTGTAGTGATAGAAAATCCATATTTAGTGATTACGACTGCAAGTTCTGTTCTTTTAAGCATTTAACAGTAAGATCAGTTGTCATGTCTATGAATTTGATTGCCAGTTGACAAAAGTTGGAATTCATAGGCCAATGATTTCCGTCCCAGTAACAATCAGCATGAATGGAAGGAACCTGAAAGAAACTACCTCTTTTACCTACCTGGGAAGCATCATTTCAACTACAGGCAGAACTGACTAGGAAATCAAAGCAAGAATCGGAAAAGCAAGACAAGCTTTCACTACTCTCAAGTCTGTGTGGAGGTCAGCAGCACTCAGCATGAAAATGAAAGTAAGATCCGGATTTTCAACTACAATGTGAAGTCAGTGCTACTCACGATACGGATCAGAGACTTGCACTGTGCGTCATAAAGGGCATCTCAAACAAACTACAAACCTTCATACACAGCTGTCTTCGCTCAATACTCCGCTCAAGATCAGATGGCCAGCCAGAAAAGATCAGCAACAGAGATCTCTGGGAGCGAACCAACCAAGAACCGATTGTGAAACAAAGAGGCAGGAAGAAATGGAGATCGATTGGCCATACTCTGAGGAAATCATCAAGTGACATGACTAGACAAGCCTTTGCTCGAGTGGAACCCGAAAGGGAAGCGGCGAGTTGGTCGCCAATGCGAGGGTGACTTGGAGGAGGTCATGTGAAGAGGAGATGAAAGCGTGTGGGCAAACTTGGATCCAGGTGAAGACTCTAGCAGAGAACCGAACGCAATGGGGACGCAAGACTGAAGCCCAATGTTCCTCTAGGAATTAAAGGAAATAATAATATAATAACTAGATTAATACCGAGATCACCTTGTAAACTGGAGGTCATGGGTTCGATTCCCTGTGGGCTATTTCGTGAGTGCTCACTGCCGAAGAGTTCCAGACTAGGTTGAAACAACTGCTCAGTACTACTTAGTTCTCCAACTGATAGCAATCTGTAGTCAAAGAAATTTCATTTCTCTTTTTTGAGACTACTTTCATGTGTCTGAGGTATGACTAGTTGCCGCGATGAGATAAACGGAAGGAAGCGAAATATCAAGGAATTATAAACTAAATCCTCTAATGAAAGCCAACCATTTTTAAAAATGACGTTACAACTCAGTAATTTGGACAGTCCTTCACTAGATTGAAAAAAACCTAATTTTCACGGGTTCTCTTAGAAATGTTCGGCTGCAACAGAATCTCCCTTGAAGGAATAAACCACTTGTTTGATGTCCCGGTCTACCTGAATTTCTATCTAACACAAGGCATCATATTCCCTCCAATTCTTATTATTTGGACCATTCAGTTATATACTTAAGTCACGAAATGTACTCACGAACATTTTTAACTTGCTTTCATACCACTGGAAGCTCAGGGGAAATGTCACAAGGGATTAGCTAATGCCTTGGATTGAGCAGAATCACGTCACGTGATATTTTACTTAAAGATCCTGTTTGCAACTAATCACGCTGAGATTTCTGTGAGTCGTGTAAATATTTTTTCTAAAATAACGCTATAATATATACATCTATACATTAATCCTGAAGACAAATGGTAGTGCTCGTCAAAAAGGATGCAACAGTTTTGTGGTATTTTCGAAGTGCATGATAATCATGAAAATTAAAATAGTAGTTAAGGTGTCATTCTAATGCATTCCATATTGGATGAGTTTATTTATTATAACACTTAATAGTAAATTGTTAACAGAAGTGCACATATAATTAGCCAGCGAAGAGACTCTTTTCAACAAATTCACTATCAAGCTATACAACAGTATATGTGTACAGTTTTTAAGAAATTATATCCGGTGAGGGAATTAGATCAAAGCAGTGAATACATGAAATAATAATAGTAGTATGAAATGCAATTAAAACTAAAATGTTTGTGATTATAATCATAGTTAAGTGTCCAGTAGAAAAAGCATTAATGTCATACAGAGAATAATAAATAAGGTGTATAGATGTTGGAAAGGGGTGTAAAATTATAGGATTAGTAGGCGAATTTGAAATGTTACATAACATGGTGTGAAGTTTTATGAAATAGAATTCAATACTGTAAGAAAACGCGTTTTCTTCGTTACATACTTCTGAAGACAACGCAGGCCTTAGCAATTCATGACTTTAAGCCAGACCTTTGTGTACAAAAGAAGTACATGAAATTCCTACTTCCGCCTTGACCGTAAAGGAATAGACATTTATTTATTTTGTTTATTTAGTTATTCTATGTACCTATCCCTTATTACTACGATTATTATTACTATTACTATTCTCCCTCTGAATTGTTTCCGCTTGTCCCACTTGTCATTCTAAATCCAAAATTATTTTTTTTACAATATTGAATTCTATCTCACAAAATTTCACACCATGTTGTGTAACATTTCAAATTCACCTACTAATCCTATAATTTTACAACCCTTTTCAACATCTATACCCCTTATTTATTATTCTATATATGACACCAATTGTTTTGCTACTGGACATTTAACTATAATTATAATCACAAACATTTTAGTTTTAATTGCATTCCATACTACTATTATTATTTCATGTATTCACTGCCTTGATCTAATTCCCTCACCGGATATAATTTCTTAAAAACCATATACATATACTGTTGTACAGCTTGATAGTGAATTCGTTGGAAAGAGTCTCTTCGCTGAATATTGTGTTCTTAATGCTACAATGGGAATTATTAAATTATATAATTAGTCGACAGTCGTTACGTATTCCATAGTCTATAAGATAAAAACTACTCAAGTAGACTTAGATATAAAGAGGTCGTCAACTAAAGTCAGTTTATTATCGTTGACAATATTGGATGAAAAATTACCTGATGATGTGTGAGTGGCCGTAAAGCTAACATCCAGGTTTGTTATTCTTCATCAGCAGTTTGGATGTGCAATTATAACAGAACTAATTACTTTTCAGGAGGTCGACATCCTTTCAGTAAGTGGTACGACTGTCACCACTTTATTATTTAGATTATTGTCGACTTTACATAAGACATTCTTTCTCAGTCCTTATGTTCGAAGTGGAACGTAGGGCTTAAGGCTTTGCAGCTGTGAATTTTCAATAACACTGTTGTACTTTTTATGTAGTGCAGCTAATAAGCTCATGCACAGGTTTTCCTCTTTCCAGGACTTACCACTGCATGTCAGGTGAGAACTGAACCAGGACGTCCCACATAGTGAAGAGTCAAATAAATTGACTAGAGTCACGAAGAGATACCTAAATTCATGTCTCTACCTTATACCTATGTTATGTTGTCTAAAAACTATAATGACTCCACTGTGAATGGAATTTATAGAATAGCCAGTCGGTACTGTTCAGTTATCTTTCTTTGTAATTTTCATAATGGGTGGTGGTGAAATGAAAATCGGGATTACGACGGGAATCGAACCACTGGCCCTAAGATTACTAGTCCAGTATTCTACCAGTTTAACTACGAGACCTAACTAATAAATAGGTCACTGTTTCACTGTAGGCACGATGGATAATTCCCAACTGATACAGGGTGAATGATACTATGATATTTGTTTATCATTGCTCTAACTTCCAATACGCATTGTGTCCTTTCCTATCAATCCCAACCATACTGAATTAGAAAGGTACAAGTTGTTAATTGTTGGTGAGAGTATCTGAGATATCCTTGAAGTGATACTCGTGAGATCTCAGTTCTCAGTAGTACAGAGGTATTCACCTCCTATTGTTACCAAAAAGAATTTATTCCAATAGTGTAGCTTTTTATCATGTTATTTATTTCTTCATAAAATTATGATGACATATATTACTGATTGAATGATATAAGTAGTTGGGTACCACTCATATCAACAAATAGTACTTGCTAGCCATATTGAAGTCATCTTGACACCGGACGATTGTTTTGCTCGTTTGACCAAGAGCTCAACAGCAGTGTGGTCAGTTTGACCCAGCTCAGAGAGCTGAATGAGTTCAAACTAACGTAACTGTGGCTAGCTGCTTAAGCGATTTGGCGATATA